TATATATATATATATATATATATATATATATATATATATATATATATATATATATATATATATGTATATCTGAAATGTAATTACATATTTTTATATAAGAGAGAACTATTATAATGTAGATCCTTTAATTATTCCTAAATTTTCCACATGTATACGCTTTATGCGTAAATACATCTGTATGTACTGAAACAGAAGTTTTTTTTTTTTTTAAGAAACTAACATTGATATATATAATTAGTCACGTATCTTAATAATAAATTCTAAATCTAATCGCGCGGAAATCCTGAATATACAATCGAATATAAATAAAAGTAGCAATTTATTTTGTAACTTTAACTCTTAAATACTCGCATTGAATCAATTTAGCAAGCTTTGAAGATTTGAAGATTTAGCATTAAGTCTGCCGAGTGGGAAAAAATAACTGAGCTTACTAATCGCGACTCTATCCACGCAAATATTTAAGACTTAATTATACAAGTAGAATGTAAAATCGGAACGTAAGTAGAGGTATCGATTGTCCATAAAAACAATAATGGTATGTCGTAAAGTCTAGATGTATAATTATTATTGTTGTCATGTGTACCCGAAACTCAATTGTTTATAGAAGTTTGCATGACAAAAAGAAATGTAATGAGAAGTTTTACACGCGCTTTTCCTTTTACGTTTTTGACACTGTTGTATTTGTTTCAATGCTGACTGTAAATGTGCCAGAAATAATGCCAGTGCATTCACCCAGTTTTATACATTTACATTTTCGTTAAATGACACTGACCCAACCAACTTAAGAAATAATGCAATTCGACCTTTCTTGTACGTTTCCATTCGCCTTCTCGATCTCGATCAGTAATGTGTGAAAAATATCTGCAACAGACTGTGGCACGAAATTGACGTTCAATAAGAGCTTTCAATGGAAACAAGAAATAATCTCGCCATTTTTTTAATTACCTCATTTTGCTTCGCACTAGTTTCGAGAAACGCTGCATTCCAGGAATTTGCTAAGCGCTTTCCTTGATCTGTCGTGATCATACGATCCACGTATAGATCTGTTTTATTGCCCACTAGTACAATCGGGACACTACAAGCAATATCACAATTTACATTTTTCTTTAGAAGAGAATACATCAAGTATTCTCAGAATTCTGAAGAAAACCTTACTGTAGCTTTCCAGTGATGTCAAGAAGCTTGTCATAAATAATTTGTACAATTTCAAAACTCTTCGCACTGGTTATGCTATATACCAGGACATAGCCATGAATGTCCATTGAATACTGAGTGGGAAATATACTATACTCATCTTGCCCAGCTGTGTCTACTAACTTGAGCTCATAGTCTTGACTATTTACCCGTGTACTTTTTGTGAATGCTACAATGTACAAAAGGTCTATTAGTACTGAATTGTTTGATATGGATTTAGCACTTACCAAATTGCTAATCATTGAAATGCACAAGAGAACTCATAATATAGTAAAAATATTTCTTACTATTTTCTATTGTGGGGTCATAGGAGTCCACAAATTGTCCTTCCACAAACTGTATGCTAAGGGAGGATTTACCTATTGAAAATTCAGTACATTGTGTTAAAGCATCAAAGTGTTACTAATAAATAAATATACTGATATAAATGATAATTAATAAATTCTCTAGCAAGAAATAATAAGTATTCTGCTGCTCAGGTACCACTCTAAATCATTAATAAAAAGATCATGAGAATTGTTTATAAAGACAAAAAATATTTGTAAAATACACATATGTATTATAGAAAAGAACCATACCTACAGACCTGTAGCCCATAATAGCTATTTTCCTTTGCTTGGGTGGCATGTTTTAGCATTTACAAACTGAAAGGCAGGAAGGATATTCGATGAAAGCTGGTGCATAATCCAGTTAAAACCTGTTTGTAACAAAAAAACTTTGTGTGTGACTGCAAAGTTTCCTTATTATTAAACACGTCAATGCTTTCAAAATTGTCTATTACAATGCACTACATTTTATGTATCCATAGCAATACTGCCAAGAAAATGTGACACTCTCCTCACAAAATGACAAAGGATGAGAGTATAACAGCTGATATCGTCACGTAAACGAGTTTAAATATATTGTTTACTTAATATTTATGTTCTACATAATAACGATCAAGGTAGAGAGAGAGGGAAGGAGGGAGGAAGAGACACACAAATACACTGCCTGCGCCTGCGAGCAAGCTGTATTTAATCGCGATACCGTTTGCAAGCGATATTTTCCCACATTGGGAAAACCACCCGGTTCACATTTCCTACCCGTTTGTCCGCCGAACAACAATGAACGGTTATTATTGACGACAGATTGCGACAGATGTGCTGTCCACTTACGACGCAAGAAACTGCGATGTATATAGCAACAATCGCTGCGTAGAGATCGTGAGTGAAAAAAAGGGGATAAAAAGAAACGATACACGCGTATAATATGGAGGTGCGTCTTACATCGATACACGACGGTCCTGGATTACAAGGCGGCAACGACGGCGACGTTCCCGAGAAATTGCGCATAGATCGACAACACGGGAATCACACCGCCCCGTAGAAAAACAAATACGTTTCCAACTACGCACTGTTTAACTCACGTACAGCTGCACGCGTGTGCACTACCCGTAGGAGGACAGAGAGGGGAGACAGGGAAAGAGAGGGGGAGAAAAAGAGAGAGAAATGACGTCAATGTACAGATTGCGTCTTGCTTTTACTGATGGCACGCTGCGCGTCATTCACGCATGCATTTCTGAGCTACGCACGGACACGATGCGCCGCCGGATATACCTAAATCGCCTCAGTCACGACGTTAAACGCTTTCTTGCTGTTGCATCTTCTATGGCCCATATTCTGAATCCTCCTTGGCTGCGTTCAGAAACATCACTCGAGTACTCTCCCTTTCTTTTTATCTCACTCTTGTATTTCGCTCACTCCAACGCAACGGGTACACTTGGGTAATGTTTCCGAACGCAGCCTTTTATGTATAAAAGTGCCTCTAAAAGAGGCTTAAGAGCCACCTGATTAGTTGAGAAGCTACATTTGAGGCACTTTTATCGATAAAAGAGGATCCAGAATATGGATCTATGTTTGTATTCTTTACCTGCTTCTTACGTTTATATTTTTCCCTTCCTTCGAAACTCGATTAGATGCATATTTTATTTTAAACGTAGAAAATGCGTATAGACAGAACAATTAAAACAAGACTTTATTTCTCACTCTTTTGTGTTTTTCATTAAAATCAGACTCAGGAAGAATTCGCACTTTGGAAGAAAAGCAGAAGCCAATTAGAACTCGCGCTAGTAGAAAGCAGAACTGTCGACTGCTACCTGATCATCAATGGTTGCGTTCAGCAAAGAAAGCTGCTTTGCAACTGTGTAAAATTCGTGAATATGATTGGAGTATGGAGTATTTTTTTAACTCATCGATAGATCCATCATATGATGCACAAATATAGCGAAACGCTGTAAAAAACTCGCCCATGATCTTAATTTTGGTTGAATTCAAGAGCATGTACCAATCAGATTCACGAATTTTATAACAGTTGCAAAGCAGCTTTCTACTGAACGCAGCCAATGTGAGTTCTAATTGGCTTCTGTCTTTTTGTTTTCCGTTTTTCTGTTAAGAGATGATAAATGGTCTGTTCTTTTCAACTGCACTGCTACATTGGTGCAATAAGTTAAAGTGAAATAAAATATATTTGTCTCACTCTAACTTATTGCATCAGTATAACAGTACAGCTGAAAAAAATAGACCTAATATTCGACTATGATAAAGTTTGTCCTGCACGCTTTCGTGCTCAAAATCAACATCATTCTATTTTTATTGCTCATTATCAGCGTGATCCATTAGGGTGCAAACCCATGCATCGGAATAGCGGAGCGGAATAAGAAAGGAACCAATCACGAGCGTTCCACAGTTTTCGCTCGTGATTGCTTCTGCTCGTGATTGGTTCCGCTCTCGTTCCGCACTCCGCTATTCCACTGTATGGGTTTGCATCCTTATGCTAGATGCACACTGGACGCGATTAGCGATGAGCGATGAGCAATATCCAGTGAAAGTATTGCTTTAAAAAGAAATAAGAGCTCTCATTGGATATCGCTCATCGCTCGTCGCTAATCACGTTCAGTGTGAATCTAAACGTCGCAAACGCTTTGAAGCACTTAAAGAGAAGCCACGATTGGTCTATACGACGCTTCAAAATATCTGCAGCGTTTAATGGATCGCACTCTATATCTAATAGGATATCCGCAATAACAGTCCAATAGGAGAATTACTTTTCTGTAGAAAAAGATATTGCTAATTAAAAACTTTAGGAAATAAACTTTACTATTGAACGTCGGATGTCGCATACTGCATTAGCTGATCTGTGCATACAAAGCGCTACTATACATCACATAACTATGTAGCCAATGTGCACGAATTTTCTCTGTAGGTAACAGATAATGTCCACGATTTCTTGTTCTGTTCCGTGCTATAAGTAAAATTTACAATAAAATTTACTACTAAAAGAAAAAGGAAAATTAAGAAACATAAATTATTGTTAAATAGAAATAACTTCTGAATATTTTTCCTCTTCACATGTTATATATTTTTATATTTTTGCCGTATTAACAAAATTTGCTTTATCGAGGGTGTGGATCAGTAAAGTAGTTTACAAAACAATCTCGATCGAGTTGCACTTGTTATTTGCTTTTAAAAGCGCGACCTGAGAACCATAGAGAGAAAGAAAGAGAGTTTTTAAAAGCGATATCGCCACGTGACAAAATAACCTATAAGTATTATTTACACACGCAACGATGAATGACGCTGACGAAGAAAGATTATCAAATATGTTAGATGTGACAAACAGCAATGTGGATTCAATACAGAAAGAAACATCAGTGATGAATCAGGGGCATACAAAACGAGTTGATCCGAAAGCCGAACGTGAGAGGTTATATATTCCAAAGGGCAAACCAAAATCTGGCAGGATATGGAAAGAACAAAAGACAAAGTAAATTACAGTTAATAATTAATAGAACACGATATATTCGATTTATGTTCTTGTTAGTTTTTATGATTGAAATATGTACAAATAATGATTTATAGATTTTCCTCTATAATCAAAACACGTGGGATTAGGTTATCCCTTACTAAGAAACAAAAATTAAGAGAGGATCTTAAACGCGTTAAGGACATGTCAAGAGCAATCAAATTACAAAAACAGGAGGAGAAGGAGGCAAAGAAACAACGAAGAATAGAAAATTTAAAGAGAGCTGAGGAGAATAGGAAGAAAAGTGAAATTGTACAAGTTGTAAGTAAATCCATTCTTTCTATTATTTGTAAAACAGATATATTTATATATTTAAAATTCTTTCATTATGATTTTTAGATCACAAATACTGCAAAGATAAAACGAATGAGAAAGAAACAGTTGCGAATGATTGAAAAGCGAGATATAACCAATGTGCAACGCACAGTATAATATGTGAGAATATTAAATGAAATGTATAATATAAAAATATTGTCATTTAGATAATTTTTTTAACAACATTTTTAATTTAATTCATAATCTTTTTAATCTATCTTATAAACTTATATTTTGTAATCTTTTAATCCTTTTTCATGAACATATTCCTTTCCTGATTCACGTGCAGCTTGTCTTGCCACGAAGTTCTCCAGTTCTACCTGTAGGTTATAATCTTTGGTATCTTCTCTCCACTGCAAAATTGAAATATAAATAGAATCTCCTGACAAATATGATAATACATTTCGATAGCTAGACCTTACCATTTCTTTGATCCACTTTGGCAATTTTTCTTTATATTCTGGTTTCTGTAACCTATAGGGGGAATTTTTTAAATAGAACACTATTCGTTTTCAGGGATGAAATTATAGAAACTTTCATGTCTCGTACGTACCTCGACTCCACCATCAATATCGCGCCCCAATCGTTTATGTGTCTGATGCAACGACCCAGTGCTTGATTCAACGTCCTGAACGCGTTTATATTATACCAGTCTAAACCGGACAACAATCCTTTAGACACATTGGAGTCATTGTATTCCTTCTTCATCAATACATTCTTGTCCTTCATATTTTTATATGGTATACCGATCTAAAAAAATGGAAATATATTCAATAAGATGGTTTTATACATGTAGGAGAAGATTGGGACCCTTCGTACAGTTTTAGAAATTTTATTTTTCAAATTGTGTTAAATGCTTTTAGAATATTCTCTTTAATGTCAATAGATAGTATACAGTTACAATAAAAACATTTAAATAAAATAAATGATATGTAAACGAATGAAACTTTTTTCTTAAAATAGAAAATTATACGAATGTACCCCGTAAGTGGAGTAGCTTCATACAATTAACGGGGTACCTACGTACATATGAGTTAGCTTCGGACATAATTATAAAACACAAGAATTATCATCTCATATTTATTAATAGCTAAAATTTAAATAAAGACAAACTTTTATAAACTTTTATAATAATAAATATAACATTTTTTAACCTTTACATAAATATTCAAACGTCTTATTAAAACAATTTTTTAATTATCATGTAACTATAATACTAAATACTTAGTTTAATCAAAAACAGAGAAATTTTACAATTAACCAAAGAGTGTATTTCTTGTATGAATGAATCTCACTGTACGAATGTATCCCAAAGTGAAAAGAAAAAATTATTTTATTTTTTTATAGAATCCACTAAAAATGTAATAAAATTTATCAAAATATAATCTTGAGAATTTCTACTTACTAAAAAACTGTTGTTCTCGCTTTTAATACTAATAGAAACTACTTAACAGCAGTCATATACTTCGATCAGAAATTTACTCAGAGAGCTCTAAAACACGTTACGTTCTGCTCTGTTGCTCACCGTCGCCGAACAGACGTCAAATTTTGCTGACATGAAGATGATAAAGACAAAATAAAACACGTATAGCCGTGTTCCAATTCTGCGCGGTTTTTATTTTATTACCGATGTACGAATGTGCTCCGTGTGCGAAGAGACCCAATTTTCCTCTATAGGCACATTAAGAAGATAAAAAAACATCGTTGTCGTGTGCGCATAGAAAGCTTAAATTCAAAAACCTGTAATTTCATGTAACGTCATATAAATTAGAAGACGAAAAACAAGATAATGACGGAGCAGCCGTTATTTTGTTTTTATTTTCTAATTTACACATTTTTATTAATATAAGTGTGATGTAAACTTATACAAAATTTCATAAACAAATATTAAAAGACGAGAATGTGTTACAAGGTTTTGTATTTAAACCTTCCACACGCACGACGTGTTTTATCCTTTTAACAGTTAACTTATAAAAAATAATCGATGCTCACTGTTAATACGCATCGTGCTTCATTGTCCTTGAAATCGGTTCCTTCCGCCACTTTGCCTCTGAAGACTGCGAACATGATAGCTCCGCATCTTTCCCGGAAAGAATACGACAACGATTCTTGAATTACTTCTCTGTATTGTCTCATCAGCTCAGGTAGCTCTTTCTTTTCTCTCGACTCTACGAAAATCTCCTTAATTTCCGCGAGTTTGGCCCAAGTGCCGGTACTTTTCCATCTATCAAGAATGTTCTTCATAGACTCGTAAGATGAGAAGAAGCATAATATACCATACGGCACCGCGTCGCACACTTGAAGAACCAAGTTACCGAGTTCATCCTGTTGATTAAAATTGATCGTTAAACATTTTCTCCCATAACGCGCCAATACAATATGGCAGAAAGACTGTCGAGTAGAGCGAAGTAGTGATTTGTGTAGTCACCTTAAAAGTCCAGGTGTTGATATTTTGGTAGTTGCCTATCAGAAGTTCACCACCCGGTCCTCGTGGTATACACCTTACATACACTTGCTCCCTTGGTATGATGTGATTGGCGTGAAGCTTGTGGGGAAATTGTATTCCGAGTTCGCTTTCAAACGACATGATCGGCGTCAACGTACCCGAAGCGAGTATCACTGAGCGGACGGTGCGGGCCATAGGTACGAAAACCACCGCGGGATTCATGCACACAAGTTTCAATATTCGCACTCGTTGATGCTTATTTCTCGTCGGAACCCAGACGTCTTCGCACACCTGGATTAGATAACGTAATGTGACAATTATGTTAAGTTACTCGAGTGAAATTCACTCACCTTCATATTTGCGGTCTTATATTCTTCAGTTTCCACAACATATACTCTGTAGTCATGAACATAGTCTCTGATCGTTTCCAGGGCGAAACGGAGTTCTTCGAGGATTTTTTTAGTCTCGACCGTGATAGTAGGTATAATTCTTCTGGAATGGGTCTCCCTCGATTCATTGTAATCCTGAATGGCCGCATTACTAGCGGCCAAAAAATTGGGAAATCTAGAAATTCCGATATGATCGATGTCAAGCATTTCGAGGAATTCGACGCCGGACCATTGTTTACTGATCATTCCATGATACTGCCTGTTCTAGAGATCAAAGAACGTATATTGTTAATGAAGTCGAGGAGAATAGTGAAATTTGTCGGTTTTTACACATTCGTAAATTGATAAAAACTGATTGCGAACGATACGTTAAATTATGTAAAAGCGATCAATTTCTTCAATATATACATACTTCCGGATTTAGATTGACGTCGAGATTCTTAAGGAAATTTCCTACGTCACAGAGGTACGTATATATAGTGATGTACGTATTTTTGTCAGCGTCGGGCAGGATTGAGAGTTCTTTACATTCCTTAGAGGCAATCATGAGTTTAATATCTTTGATGTCCACACTGGCGACCTCTCGACAAATATCCTCGATATTGTGAGCCTCGTCGAGAATTACAATGTGGCCTTTCAAGTTGATTTGCATCTGCACATTAACTCTTACAATGAATAGGTATTTTCGCCACTTTAACCCTTAAGCACTGACAGGAGTCTGATAGACTCCCAATGAAATAAAAAAACCTATTACTGTTTCACTCCCGCTTAAGCGTATACACATCGCGTCCGTCTAACTTTTCTTTGGCCCGTAAGATACGAAGTGGCGACAAGGAAAGACGTTTCGCACACTTTCTCAGGTAATTATCAAACTTTGAAATATTTTGGTAAATCTGTGTCAGTGCTTAAGAGTTAATAGTGAATATGAAAAATGATGATCTTATAATCTATTAGCTCTTTCAAGTTTCAACTAACAGATTATAAGATTAAAAAGAGATAAGATTTAAAAAAATAAATTTATATATGATTTTCTAGTTGTATTTTTAGCAACAATCTATAAAAAATTACTTTGTTTAAACAATCATAATTAAAAAAAAGAAAGGATCTGGAGATTTTTATATCTAAGACCGTATAATATATAATTAATAAAAAAAATAATTTGTTAGTTATAGTATCTCAGAAAAAGTCAAATTATTTCAGTATATAAAAATAATGTATTTTTGTGTAAGAAAATAAGGCTAATTAATATTTAAAAAACATTTTAAGCATCATACAAAAGTAAGAAAAGAAGTAAGAAACACGAGAAATCGGAAGAAAACATACATCCACAAAGTCTTTGTTAACCGTTCTCGTGTTTACCTAGTTCATAACGGCTTTGTCAATTAGTTAAATAAATTAAAATAATTTGAAAAAATTATTAAGATATACAATATATAAAGAAAAACAAATTTTCACTTACTTATGCAAAAAAAGAACAAAAGTTAAGTGAATAGAGGGTTACTTGTGTCCAAAATTGATTTGCTCCGACTGCTATTCAAAGAGTAAAAGACGCATTTTATCGTTATTGAGCTTCACATACAATAGCTTCTTTTGGAATATATATATATATATATATGAATCCTTCGAAATTTCGGAGTGAGAAGAAATGCAAAGTTATTAAAAGTGCTCGGACACGAATGATCTCCCTATTCACTTCAAGAATTAATTTCGCGATAGTCTATCGTTCAACATAACGTTATCAATAAGAAAAGAAAGAAAAAATAGATACGATCTGCACGACTTTGAGACCGAGCGATTTTTAATTTCAGCGCTATTATTATTATTAAAGTTATTTCTGGGTACTTGCCACAGCCATGTTGAATCATGACTTCATATAGGCAAGAAATGACACGTTAAAAGTTCTTGCATGCCATTTTCAAGTAAAAAGATATTTGAAAATGAATTAAAAGATTATTTGAATAAACGCACATTTTAGATCGTTCAAGTATACTTGTAAGATGCTCCGAAAACTATCCTTGTCCTTTGGTTGTCAATAAATAGTCGTAAAAGTAACTTGTCTAAATTATAAGAAAAACTAGATTAAAGAAAATGATTGCATGTGTACGTTAATTTTACAGCTATTTGTTAACTGTGAAGGGAAAAGAATAATTTTCGGAGCATTTTACAAATATATACAAATAATCTCAAGTGTTCTCTGAAACAAATATCTTTTTATTTGCAAATAGTATGCAAGAATTTTGACTATGTGTTTTTTCACTCCTGGCGTTATCGACCAAGAGCTCCACGGCAAATGATCAAAAGCCTTAACGAAAATATTAACAAAATACATAGTTTCTTCGGCAGATAGTTCATCGTGCACATATTGGCTCTGCATATTTTATCGCCGTGTGAGTAAACTCACGACACTTACGCTCGCACGAATTTTCGGATCTATAATGTAGTTGTAAGGACACATGATGATTTCCGCATCAGACATCAGGGATTTCGCGGCATAATATGGACAAGCCTGGTACAGTTTGCCCAATGAAATCAAGTCTTCGATATCCCAAGGAGTCTCCAGTCCGAGACAATTTATTGCCTCAAACGTCGCCATATCTTTTTTATTTTTTTCGTTGTAATACGGACATCTATTAGACTGTGAACAGAGAGATACATAATGCCGTTATATACGATCGTTCGCTTTTCATTGCGCGATTAATAAAGTCAATAATGTTTAGACTAACCTTTTTCGGATCGAGCAACTCATGACAGAGCTCATCCTTGTTCTTATTCGTATCTTGGATACACGTATACGTTCGACTACTCAATATAGTCATCCTGCAAATTTTCCCACTCATTGTACATTAATTTCATAAAACTTTTAATATTTAATATTTTAAAGTTCCTAGATATTCACCACAGAATTCTTGATTTATAACGTCAGAAAATGAGAAGTAACAATCAATGGAGCAAATGTATAAAATAGTTCAAGCACTTTTCTTTCGTTCTAACAATCAATAAATAACCATAAAATTAACGTAACATGTAATTTTCCTTTTTAATCTACATTTCCTCATTATTCTATTTAATTATTTTAATTTTATGATTATTTATTGATTATTATAGTAAAAGGGAAGTATTTGAATTACTTTACCGATCTGCTCGATCGATTGCAAATGCTATTTTATATACGTTTTTTTTTATTCCTACGCGTTTTGCAGGAATTTTGAATGAATGTTTTTTCACTTCTGACGTTACAGTGACCGCAGCTAACATAAAAAAGCTTTAAACGAAAATATGTTACCTCTTATGCTTGTACGCGGTCGTCTTCAATTCTTTGACTATTTGCCCAATTTGGTTGTGTGTTCGTGTACAGTAGAATATCTTCGGCATTCGCTGTGTTCTGCAATAAATAAATATCTAATGTTATTTTCTGTCTATCTAGGTAAGGCTTTCGAGGGTCATTCCTGATGTACAGTTAATTGCAAAATTTAGGCACAATGAGATTGGGATGTCACAAAACTGTAAAAAGTTGGAATTTATTATCGGCGAATTTATATAATAATAATATAATTAATAATATGATTTAAAACACTGAATAATAATAATTAATAATATAATCATTAGGCAACACACACACACACACACCTCGTCAATAACGACACTCAATTTTGACAGTTTGGTGAACTCCCAATTTCATTTCATGAAAAAATGCATACTATCTTCGAGTAAATGTTATTTGTTTCAAGTATTTCGTAAGTTTATATATCCACAAATCTGTCGTAAGTTCATCGCGAGCATCAAATTTATTCAAAATATAAGTTTTAAACCTTAATAAGTTTAGCATTTAAATCAAATATATTAAATTAATACAAATATTTAGTTTGTTTAATATATAAAGTCGAACCAACTTCTTCTTAGATAAAGTTTTATAATATTCTCGTAAAGAGAATATATTTTTTTAAATACATGATAATGAACTTTCCTAAAATTTGTGATGAGTATATTTTAAAATTATTTAAGAAAATATTCCTTGCTAAAAATGATCTTTATTTAAAAAAAAAAATGGTATTTTATGGTAGAATGGTATTTTTCTCTGTGCACTTACGCTTTGCTCGATATTTTATCGTAAGATTTGTCGTTAGGGCTTAAATTAAAGGAAGCATCGCCATCTGCACCACAGCAGTTTTCTGTCAAAAAGGAATGTAATATAGAGAGATTATTAAAATCTTCTTCAATAGAAATTAAAAGATTATTGCATTATTGATTATTAAGTCGGAGACATCGGGATGCGCTCGAGAAACGATACACTGAGGAAAGAAGCGACGCGGTACGAACGCAAAGGATGTCAAAACATTATAAGTGTTGGCACGCGAAAGGGCACGAACCTATTGAACGAGACCAATAGAAAGGCTTAATCCTCTCTCTCGCAGCGCTACAACCTCGACAACGAGCCGGTTACTCGAAGAAGGCATTGAAAACGAAACCGGCGGAGAGTCGCTTCCTTAATCCTTTCGTACAATTTAGAGAGCCGTAAAAATAGAAATGACTCTCAATGACGAAGCGACCGTTTATTCGTAATCGGATTTCCGCGGATGAATTTATGGCAAATAAGATTCCAGCCGTCTATTCGGCGACGCAAGCTTTATTAACCGAAAACATCGATCGACGCGACGCCGCGAAAAGAAATATCCAAGAAACTACACCCGAATTTTAACCCTGAACTTCTTCTTAGATAAAGTTCTTTCGACCTGAACTTTCTGACATCTGTATATTCGGAATAATCAGTATATATTTAACATACATGGAAACCTAAATATTTCCTAATGTTCCTAAATATTTCAAAATAGAAGACACAAAATTTCACTTGTAGGTTCTAAAGAAGGCCTCCGGCACAGAGTTAGTAGGTTAGATAGAATCAAAGATATTAATATAGGTTTTAGAGTAAAGCAAAGCGTTCAATGCGTGAGCGTTAAATAAAATATTGAGGTCAAAAGTACAATAAAAATTTTGGACTCGGCATTTCCTATTCACGGTATCGCGAGAAGAGAGAGATATGCTGTGAAAAAAAAAGATATATTAGGCGATTTTTGACGATCGTTTGGTACATGTACCTGGTTGTCATTGGCCTAATTTACATCAAACATTTAATATATGTACTAAATATCTGTACAGTATAAATGTCCAAAATACAATTCTAGAGACGTCGTTCTAAAGATATCTCATTATCTCTGGAAGATATTTGGATATTTGTGCTGTATGAATATTTAATACATATATTAAATGTTTGATGTAAACTTGCCCAATAACAACCTACATAGTACATGTATCAAACGATCGCCAAAAATCGCCTATTATTATTGAAGATAATTACTTGTGCGAAAGGACCAGTCGAAATGAACGGGATCGCACGTCGAATGTTTACTTCCTCGCCGCATTTCTCTCGTGTGACATTATACGCCCATATCGTAAAGGCACGTGAAAATAAATCTCCATGTGGCCATGTCGCTTATCGCGCTTCTTCACACGCAATTCGCACGCGTTGCGTCATTGCGTGAAACGTTCTCTAATTCCATTCTGTTCGCGTGAACATGTGTCCTATGCGCGCGTGAGCGTATGTGCATTTTGTCCCGAGAACGACGGCGATAAGGTAGGTAAGTAGATAGGCAGATATGGGGTGGTTATGGCATGGGCGAAGGGGGTCTGATTGGCAACGGGGATGAGAAGAGAGGCTAAGACAGGAAAAGCGAGACGGGGCCAATCAGAGCGCGGACTTCGAGGGTGTCGTTGCCAGGCAACGAAACATACCCTAACACCCAAGGGGAGAAAACCCCCGGGGGATGTATCATCCAGCGATACAGTCGGCGCTGAAAGTTATCGCACCCTTGAGAGAAAGAGACGCCCTTTTAACTTTGCTCGGATTTTCGCGCGAATCATCCAATGACTCTCAAGTGAAGTTCTTAGCTTGAACGTTAGCCGGTTTCAACGTAAGATAAACATTAAATCGGTCGCATTTAAATAAAATCCTCTGATCTTGCATTTTGTGTCTCACGTAGAAATTGTATCCGACACCACCTGAAAATTAGATCATTACATTCTTCAGTGGTAACTGAAAATGACTGCACGATATCCTCAAGTTTTTTTCAATAAGCATAGATTAGCTAGATTTTTTCTCTCTAGTACTGTTTTTTAAAGAATTTTGGAAAATAGAATATAAAATATATTTAATTCATACTCTAACTTAAAAAGAATACGATAATATATATATTTAAGTAAATCAGAATGAATTTAATATTCTATTAAATTCCATTGAATTCAAATTTCGCGAACATACCACGTAAAGAGTTAATACGTTCATTACCAACATCAGATACTGTGACAGCAAATATTTTTTTCTATGTTCACATATCAAACAAAATTTGTTTTACACAATTAGAAAAATTATAGAAAAGAACGAGATGATCTGCGAAGAGAATCTTCCAAATAAATTGTGATAGCAAACGTGTTAAAAGTTAATCAAAATTAAATTTATGATATTAGAGATTTATTTTTTACTCGAAAGTTCAACTATTAAAGTTTCCCAAAATAAGAATTAGCTGAATCCTATTAGTTAACATACAATAAAAAAACACAAACATATATATACATAAAAAAATATATATAAAGCATACATATATATGCAAAATAGTACACACAACACAATGCAATGCAATCTAATCGTGCGCCAGCTTCGATCCATTCTACGTCCATTCAGAATTACAACATCCAAGCATGAATGAACTCGTTTCATGTCGATCACTCGCGCTTGCTGTTGCATTCCCCCCTTTCCCTCCTGCCCCCTCCTCCTCCTTCCCCGCCACTGCCACAACCGCGTTCTCGTTCTATCTCTTTTTCTCCTCTTTCTCCCGTTTTCACTATATACTGAATAAACAGTTGATTCGCGTGCATAAAGGACGCAATTCTTCTTTTCTCTAATTTTTTTTTTCGCGCTTCCGGTCCCGGCATCGTTGTTATCGTCGTCGTCGCCGCAGTCGTCGTATGAATATCGGTGGCACTTCCAACCCGACATTAATTAATTGAATCGTTGTCATTCCGCTGATCAGGTGCCACCCACATTTGTGCCGCCGGTCGGATGTGAGCGCTATTTTAAAGCCGCAGCTGGTCGCGCAGACAGCCTGAATGGACGCCACGTTGCGCATTTACGGAATTGCATTCCGATGCGTCTTCCACGGATCGTCTCCGATGACAGACGTCTTCTGTTTTGCCGCAATGCAGCTGCATGGCGAACGCGGCAATCGAGTCGTCGAGTTTATTCGATCGCCGACCCGTCACGCGTCTCAAACCGAAGGGATGCCTTGATACCATCGAAATGTCGATTACTATTGCCCCAATAACGAGTGTTTCTCACGCGGATACTTGATCCGCAAGATCTCAAATAGACGGGATATTGAGTGAAGATAGTAAAAATTCTCGGGTCAATTTTGAGTAACTCATCACTTTAAGGAGATGTTGAAGTCGATGACGAACAACGCAGAGACGCTCGTCACTAACACAATCACACTATCCTTTTCATATTTCATACAGAACTTATGTAAATGTGTGTTGCTTTGTTTTACCATATTCAGGAAAATCTAACCACGCATGTGTAGAAAACTTTCTGCAAACTTTTCAGATATTCTTAAGCTTTTGAATTCAAGTACAAATATAGAACAATGTTCTTCCAAATTTTTTTGTTTGAGGCACCCACATTTTCGATATGTACAAGCTGCAGAACTTTTAAATTAGACAAATATTACGCTGACAGCTTGATATTTTACATTTAACATTTTTTTTCATCTCGTCACATATGAACAATGCTCCAATTTATTTTTACTTTCATTGCGTGAAAGCATTTGTAATTCTGTACAACCAATACGAGATATAAAGTTAGTAATCTAAGTTGGTAATTTTTATAAAGTTAAAGAGATTAGTCTCCCGTTAATAAAGTTGAAATCAATATAATGTGGACATTACTCTCATTGAATTTGCAAATTTTGCAAATATCATAATGCATAGATAATGCATGATATTGACATGAAAAATTCAGCGCTATTACATCCGTGAGCGTTAGTGTGAAAATTCTTAAAACGATCAAACAAAAGGCCGGAAGAAAGCAATACAACGGATTCGAGACCTCCAAGAAGCTTAGGAGTTCCTTCAATCGAGGCGTACCATTAATTCGAGTATTTGTCATCGATGATTGGGGTTTAAGAGTTTCTCACGACAAACGTAGAGGTAAGTTGAATGTCAAGTGCCAATTAGACCGCGGTTACGACTTGATTTAGGAAATCGTCGCTAATTGGTCGGGATTGTGGTGCTTCGCGAAACTTTGTGGCTGAACGAGACAAAAGCCGCGGCGAAGTCCTTCCTAATATCCGCCAATTCCGCGGGGCAACTTTATGCCTTCGAGAATGTTTGATAAAGGTTCCCCGACAAAAGGAAGAGGTGAGCGCGAAGTTCCTCGAGATCGGCTCTTCGATATAATTAGTGGAATTAATGCCGCCATCAGCCAATTTTAGATACCACCGGACGTGTTTTTTGCAACCTTCCGAGCGGGCTATATATATTAGATTTGCATAATATCGTGGCCGCGTATTCAGGTCGGAATAAAAAGCGCACGAAACATCAATATTTAATTAATATAAAAAGATTATTAATTGTTAACTATGTGTCGGGCATGCATATGGACACAGCATGTATATATATGTACATCGACGCACAATCGGACTTTTATCGATATCGATGTAGTGCGAATAGATGATGATCAAACCAACGTGTATATTATGACTCAGAACTCAAATTTTCAAACGTACGAATTCGTAAAAAATTTCCCAGTTATAAAGGTACGCTCCTGGAATATTAAATCTCCTGGAAAAAAGTATACACAGATTTAAAACTACATCCCATGCATTTAACATGAAGTGCGTAAATGTGTAACTTCACATAGATGCGAATTCGCAAAAACAAACTCAGCCCAATTTACTTCACATGAAGACAAAAAAAATATTGAGTTTATTAAAACAATACGATAATTATACGTAGACAACGAGACAGATCGTAAGATTAACTATATCGTATTGAGAGAACTAACAAAAGTAATCAGAAGTAATGGAAATTAGGAAAGGGTAGAATATCAAGAAGAAGAAACAACACAAACGAGACTGATCGATGAGGAATATAGGCACCACATTTGGCTCGAATGCGACAGGTACTGCGGGGAGACAAAAATTCGAAGAGTAACGAGAGAAGGGAAGCATCGCCATGAAGGAAGACGACGTGAGCGAGTAAAAAGGGCAACGAAAATTCCGAAAATTGAGAATCGCCGTTTAGCTCTCGGACGGCGAAAGAACGAAGAAAACGAAGAGGCGGTAGAGGAGCGGAAGAACGAGACAAAGGAAACACGTGGAAAGTCGAAAGAGACGAGGACCCGTCGATCTATCAAAAGAGAAGCGCACGAGGATATCGAAAGACTCTTTCTCTGGCGACGAGAGAACGACAGCGCGAACGAGCGCGACGAGGAAGGGGTGGAAGAGGGTCGCGAAGTGCCGAGGGATAGGAATCGGCGTTTGGTCGAGGGGGTTGGGCGAGGGTTCGGTCGTCATGGCGACAAGCAGCCCCCGGGACCCTCGCAGCTCGTTGCCGGGGTTGGTCGAAAAGGGTGGCCCAGGGCGTCCGCCGGGCAGGTTAGGCTGGGCACACAGCCCGAATGTCACTCGGCAAGGGGACACAAGGATGTCCTTCGGACGCGACGGGGAGCAGAGCGAATGCGACGAAGAGGGTAGCGGCGAGAGGAAGAGGAGAATGGAAGAGGAGGAAGAAGAGGAGGAGGAGGAGGA